GGGACGACAGAGGGGTGGTGGTGGGGAGAAGCAGTGGATAAAAAGCTCGGTTCAATAGGAATTAGTAGCCAGTTACCGCAGTCTCTAATCCCATCAACCACCCGCTGAGCCGCAAAGCCCTTCAGCAGCCCAGCAGCTCTGCTCACGTCTCCCACTTTGATCTTCCTGTGCTCCTCCAGCAGCTTCTCTTTGATCTGGGGCCACAGCGAGTCCGGGGCGTAGAGGCGGGAGCAAGCGGAGCATTTCTGGCCGCCGTACTCGAAGGCCGAGCGCAGGGTCCCGTTCACCACGCTGGACACGTCGGCCGAGCTGTGCACCAGGTGGAAGTTCTTGCCGCCGCACTCTGGGCTCCGAGAGGGGCAGGAAAAGGAAACGGAGGGGTGAGGAGCTGTCCCGGCTGGGCAACCTCCCCAGAGCACAGGCGAGGGCCAGTGCCAAACTCCCTGAATCACCCAGGGCTCGGCATTAGCCATTCTTGCGCACCCAAATTACCTCCACCCTAATTACCTCCAGCCAGACGGGGGAAATTGCGGTACCGGTCCAGGTTTTCAGACACCTGCTTCCAGAGGCGCTTGAAAGTCCTGAAAGAGAAGAGAGGAGCATGGTCCGAAAGCTCTTGCATTCGCACGCCAGGGGAACGTGGAAAAGGCAGGTCCTCCAGGTCTTGGCCCTGCTGAAGAGGAGCCTGCACCAAACCCACAGGTCCCGTCCCGGAGGAAGGGGCACCCTGCAAGCAGGAGAGAGAGGAGATGCCAGCTGAGAACGAGGTGCTAGAGAGCAAAGCAACGGGCGCTACAGAACAACCCGGGATTTTCAAGCATAAGAAACAGCCAAAGTGTCACAGGGAGGAATAAAGAAGAAAGTGTCCAGCAGAAGTTTCCTGTTCTTTTCTTTGCTGCCCCCCCCCCCCTTTTTTTTTTTTTTTGATTCACTGTGACAAACCCCTTGGCTGCAAAACAATAAAAATGCTAATAAACTCCCACCAGGAGGCACAGCCACTAATACTAATTTATGAGCTTCCCACCTTTAAAGCATGATGCTCATCAGACCATGTCATTTGCCAGTTGAGCTGGGCCCCTGGGTTTAATAGCCTGTCGCCCTTGGGAGCGACGCGGCGCTCCGCTCCGCTCCGGGGCGGGCTGCCGGCGCCCTCGGAGTCGCTAACGCGCCCTGAAGCGCTGGCGGAGCGCGGGGAGTTTGCAAATCTACCTGGAGGAAAGGAGGCACGTGCTCGACATGCCCATTTCGCAGCACCCAGGCGCCTTCAGGCAGCAAAGCCGCAGTCCCTTAACGCCTGCCGGCAGGAAGAGGGGGGAATAAACGGTGCTCCGCTTTCCCCCGGCATCGCTCAGCAAGCTCTGGGCAGGTCGCTAAGCCACGTTACAGCGCCTGCGGGAGACGGGTCGGCGCCTCCTCCACGGCCCCTTTCCCAGGCAAGGTTTAGCTATTCCGGGCTTGCAGTTTAGCGGCAGAAACATCTTGCTGTTAAACACGTTCCCCGGAGCGAGACGACCCAGTTAAGGCACCCTTGGCCTTCGATGCAAAGCCAGCCCTACCTTAGCAGCCCCGAGGGCGCAGGGTAGGTGGCTGCCTGCTGCCCTGCTCCACGGTGCCAGGACGGGCGTTAGGAGCAGCACCCAGCCCGGAGGGGCGCACCTGCCCTCGCCCCACTTACGGCACGCTGCCCGTGAAGTTGAGGCCGCAGAAGTGCTCGGAGCCGGTGACGGCGTCCCCAAAGGCGGGCCCG